CAGCACCTGGGGTAGCCGACACGCGAGTACCTGGAGCGGCAGACGCACTGGCCCTAATGCCCGGGTCGGGCGGCACACACAAGTACTCGGCACCCTCTCCACTAGTAGACATCACATACATGGCAGATAGAATAGCATCAAAGTCTAGAGCATAGATATTAATCCCCTTCTTCAAGAGATCAAGCCAGCGGGGCAGCTCAGTGGCCTGAGGGAACTGAACACGCCAAGCGTCGTCGAGACGAGAGAAGCAGCGCTGTGTGGCGTGCGGTCGTCCACACTGCTGACCAGTGCGGTCACAAGTGCGAATGACGTACGTGCAGCTAAGACCACCCCCACCCCCGTGCTGAGAGTACCACTTACGGACCTCCTCGGGCGAGGGAGTGTGCTGCTGGCCCTGGCCACCGCCAGTGCCTCCATGGCCACCACCACCGCTGCCACCTCCTCGACCACCCCAACCCCTGCCGCCGCCTCGTCCACCGCCACCCCAACCGCCGCCTCCACTCCTGCCACCTCCCCCACCGCCGCCGCCACCACCCCCACCGCTACCACTCGTCCCTCCAGCCGAGCCACCACCCCCACTGCCTCCACCGCCCCCACCGCCGCCTCCCCCGCCGTCACTGCTACCACCCATGCCCCCCTTGCCCTTGTCGCTGCTGCGACCGCTCGAGGCAGACGCAGCACCGACCTTCTCAGCACCGAGAAGGTCGACAGCAGCAGCAGAGGCGACAGAGGGAAGAAGGGGGGAAGGAGAACACCCCTCAAAGAACGGGGTACGGGGGTCGCCACGAGAGGCACCTACAGCGACTATGCTAGTCTCAGCTGCGAGTAGCTCCTTCTCGAGGAGGGCAATGGTGAGCTCAGTGGGGCAACGAGCTAGGAAGTGGTCCCTGACAGCACGCAGTGTGTCAGGGAGGCGGGTGACTAGGTGGTAGAGAGTGAGCCAGAGTGGAGGGGGGTGCGTGGTAAGGAACTCAGCAGGCATGGCGGCACGGAAGCGGGCCTCACTAGTGCCGAGGTGCGTGATGAGGTCAGCGACTGTGTGAAAGGAGGCCAGGTCGGGAAACAGGTAGGGGAGGGAGAGACGGCCTAGTGCGGCAGAGGCAGGTGAGGAGTAGCGAGCAACGGCAGCTGTGTACAGTGCCTGTGCAGTCTTGTGCTGGCCAAAGTGCTCGCGTTCGTCTATCGGCAGGGAGTTGCGAATGGCGAAGCGAGCGTGGGCATCACGAGTCTGCCACTGTGAGCGATCAGTGCTGTCAGCAGTAGCAGCAGAGGCAGTGACATGGCCTAGGGCGTGATCGTACAGTGAGATGTCATCCTTGGCTGTGAGCTGTAGGTAGAGGTGCAGGTCATCGAGCCAGGTGTCAAACTTCACAGGGCGGCCCTCAGCATCAAACACGAGAACTTGTGGGCTCACCATAGGAACAGTAGAATAGCAGCAGTAGCAGTAGCAGTAGCAGTAAGAGAAGCAGGTAGGACGAACCAGATAGGGCAGGGCGGCGCGGCTCGGTTCAGGTTGGGTCGCGGCTCGGCTGGGTGGCGCGGCTCGGTTCAGGGCGCGGCTCGGTTCAGGGCGCGCGGCTCGGCTCGGGGCGCGCGGCTCGGGTCACGGCGGGGACGGGCCGCCCGGTCTCCCTCGTGTGCTGCGGCGGGAACGGGCCGCCCGGGGCCTCTAGGTGGTGGGCACGGGGCCGATCGGGGCCTGAGCGGGGCTAGCGCGGGGCCAAACGGGGCCTTGACGGGGCCTGAGCGGGGCTAGCGTGGGGCCGACGGGGCCTGAAACGGAGCCGACGGGGCCTGAAAAGGGGCTAGCGCGGGCCCGATCGGGGCCTGAATGGGGCTAGCGCTGGGCCGACGGGGCCTGAGAGGGGCTAGCGCGGGGCCGACGGGGCCTGAAACGGGGCTAGGGCGGAGCCGACGGGGTCTGAGAGGGGCTAGTGCGGGGCCGACGGGGCCTGAAACGGGGCTAGCGCGGGCCGACGGGGCCCGAGAGAGGCTAGCACGGGGCCGACGGGGCCTAAGACGGGGCTAGCGCGGGCCGACGGGGCCTGATAGGGGCTAGCGCGGGGCCAACGGGGCCTGAAACGGGGCTAGCGCGGGTCGACGGGGCCTGAGAGGGGCTAGCGCGGGGCCGACGGGGCCTAAGACGGGGCTTGCGCGGGCCGACGGGGCCTGATAGGGGCTAGCGCGGGGCCGACGGGGCCTTAAAGGGGCCGACGGGGCCTAAACGGGGCCGCTAGGGAGAGCGGGCGTGGGGCCAACGGGGCCTGAACGGGGCTAGCGCGGGGCCGTCAAAAGGGGGCCTCTAGGGGCGTGACACGCCGAGGCGCCCTAGGGCAGAGGTAGGTAGGTAGGTAGTTACGTAGTGGTGGGCCCTTAGAAAATTTCGGTCCTAGGAAGGACCTGCTCTATACCATGTTGGAATAACTGAACAGGAATGAATGAACTAGCAGTGAAATGAGTACAAGTACCTAACCCTAGAATTGTGTACCCCCTATAGGCTAACCCACTGTAGCCTAAACTAACACAACATATATAATGTTTGATAGTTGTTGTTGTCGTTGTTTGCCTCTTTTGTTGTTGTTGTTGTTGTTGTTGTTGTTGTTGTTGTTGTTGGTGTCGTTGTTGTTGTTTTTGTGGCTGTTGTTGTCGTCGTTGATGTCGTTGATGCTGTCGTCGATGATGTCGTTGATGCTGTCAATGATGGTGTCGTTGATGCTGTCGTTGATGTTGTCGTTGTCGTTGTTGTTGTTGTCTACCATGTAATTGTTGTTGGTCTCATTGTTGTTGTTTTTGTGGCTGTTGTTGTCGTTGTTGTCTCATGTGTTATTGTTGTTGGTGCCGTTGTCGTTGTTTTTGTGGCTGTTGTTGTCGTTGTTGTTGTCGTTGTTGATGTCGTTGATGCTGGCGTTGATGTTGTCGATGATGGTGTTGTTGATGCTCTCGTTGTTGTTGTCGTTGTCGTTGTCGTTGTGGTCTCCTGTGTTGTTGATGTTGGTGTCGTTGTCGTTGTTTTTGTGGCTGGTGTTGTCGTTGCTGATGTCGTTGATGATGTCGTTGATGTTGTCGATGATGGTGTCGTTGATGTTGTCGTTGTTGTTGTCGCTGATGCTGTCGTGTTGTCGTTGTTGCTGTACTAAAAATTGTTGTCGTTGATGTTGTCGTTGATGATGTCGTTGATGATGTCATTGTTGTTGTCCTTGTTGTCTCCTGTATTGTACCACCTTGCTATCCGGTTCAGATATTCTGCTCCCTATACTTCAGACAGTAGCATACTCATAATATCGTAATTTCATTGTTTTATTGATTCAGTTTAGGGTTATTGCAGCATATTTTTAGAGGTGTTGAGCCATTGAACTGCACTAAAATTTATCATTTTTTTCCCGACCCGGTACGCATTCAATGAATTTTTTTGAACTATTAGCACCAGTTGTGGCGTATGCTGCAGTGAATGAAACAATTGACAATTGCAATTACTTTATAGATGTTACATATGTGAATTCATTCTCAATTGCTGTAGATTAGATAAGTTGCATATGTGCCGTCATAGTTAATCCCATAAAGCCAGGATCAAACTTGATTGAGCACCTGCCATGCACCGCTGGATCATTTATCGTGCACCGCTGGATAATTTGTCGTGACTTCTATTGCGACAAATTTCGAAAGTGGCAGATCCGAACAGCACATGGCTTGGTTCGGCGTGTTGTTTTTCTGACTCACTGTTTACCTGGTCCTATTTTTGGCGAGCGCAGCAACTTCCACGTCAACCCTCAACTCCCATTCGCGGAAATCTCAGATTACCTACCAGCAAAACTATGACAACGAATGGGTGACCATCTGGACGCGATGGAACCAGGCACAGAAACATGTACAGTGCATTCACTTCTGCAGCCGAAGACTTCACAAGATGTGTGGTTGGGATTAGAGCGGGGTGCCTCAAGTGTTTTGTCCAATGCGTACAGATATTACTGTACATCTTCTGCATTCACCCCCTTGACGGTCTCGGAAAGTTGGTCACTCATCGACTAGTCAGCCTTCGACAGGCAGGATCCCAGAGCTTAAAATTCACTTCAAATAGGCGTTGTAGGGGCACACCGATCCTTGTCGCGAAAATACTTTCATCGCCCAGCAACGCGGCAAAAATACAACGAAGATGAAACGATTAGATTACCAGATCGAGTGCGAAACTAAACTGCAGATGCGACCCCCGAGCGAACCAATTGATCGTTTGGGATCGGGACTGCAAAACTGCAAAAAACATTGATGCATCCCGCCCTTACACTCCTCACAAATCGACTCGTAACTGCTCCACTCCCGCAAGCTTTCCCTTGACTAGCTTAGATGGTTACGATTTGTTGTTGCCAACTGATCGTGCGGACCATACATCATCTTCTTCATTCGAATGTTCAAACTATGGCAATTCAAACTCTCAAACAATCGCCTCTACTGATAGTTAGAGCACAGTGGAGGACTTGGCTTTGTTTCCTCACTTCCTAGCTCCTCCTAAAGCTCTAGCGCCAAACTTTGGTTTACATTTGGCGCCAACACTGGAGGATTACACACCAAACGTTCCTCTGATCTGTCATTAGCTCGTATAGTGACAAGATGTCGAACTTGTTCCATGCCCAGACTTTCTCAACGAATAGCAGTGCTCGTAGCACGTGGCGTTTTCAGCTGCCTAGGCTCTCAATCATCTGCCAGCAGAACATCAATACACATGCCGAGCGCCGCCGTTCACCTGCCCAACCGTGCCTTTCACCTGCCCAAATGTGGTGCTCACCTGCCCTTTGGCGCCAATCACCTGCTCTTGTAGCAGCTTCAGTCTATTGGCCCAGTTTAACTACTACTTAAGTCACACCTCGCTGGGCAGTATTATCATATCCATCCGTCTCCTAGTTCCTATCTCTCTCGGTACGGTCTTCACCACCTCCAGAACTGTGGCCTCCGTCCTTGCTGTCCGTAGCGAGATGACAGGCAAGCGCCCCATCAAGCTGACCCCGAAGATGCAGGGAGCTGGGGGTCTTGGTACCCGACTGAGTGGCGGTGTCAAGAGGCGCAACACTGTTGGCGGCCGACTGATCCCGAAAGTGCGCAAGGATGGCGCTTCTGAGCACGTAGATGACAACGATGATGTCGACGACGTTGCGGGCAACACCGGCATTGACAACGCCTCTGCTGCCGCAGCTGACCCGTCTAGCGGTGCTGGTCATGCCGCTCCCTTGGGGGTCCAAGTCCATGCTGACGACTTCAGTGATGAGGAGCATGATGAGGAAGAGGAACGCACGAAGCTGCAGACGGAAAAGCAAGGTAAGAGCTCTTGAAATTTTCTTGACCTGTTCTTTGGAACTTGTGTTGTGCTTGTATTCCAGATCTTCTGTTGTGCTTGTATTCCAGATCTTCTGTTGTGCTTGTATTCCAGATCTTCTGTTGTGCTTGTATTCCAGATCTTTTGTTGTGTTGTATCCCAGTTTTAACCGTAACGCTCATTTCCTGTGCCGCAGGGGACGGGCAACAAGACACGCTGAACAACATCACCGAGCGTGATGGGGCATCGCTTGCCTCTCAAAGTCCTACTGGGAGCCCACTGGAGGGTGTTGTCGCGGCATCTGACCAAGTTGCTAACGGGCGGCTTGCTGAGTTGGAGTGAACCACACAGCAGCAGTCACTGCTGATTTCGTCGCTTTTGTTGAAACTTAACAACGGGTCTTGCTCCCTGGAGAGGGGTGCGGTGGGTCCTGCCTCGGGATCTCCAAGCACCAATGGAACGCCGCGATCAGCACCAACGTTGCAGCGAGCTGATGTCGCCACACCCGAACGCGAAAAGCTGCAGCGCCCGACGTCCAACCGTGCTTCCCCTGCTGTGCCGCGGAAGCGGAAGTATCCAACGATGAAGAACAACGGTAACGTGTGCGACGTAGTCCTGCACACGTCACTCAGCGGTATCCCGTTGAGGGACCAGATCCTCATGCGCCAGTTGCCTGCCTATGGCAAGGCATGGAACGTAAGTGCCATATTGAAAGTGTGGAATGGGGATTGGTGGGTTGTGGCCTTGTGGCCTTGACCTTGACCTTGGTGAGCCAGCGTAGCTCCTGAGCCGCCATGGCTGTGGCGTAGATCTCAGCCTCACAACTGGAGCTGAGAACAGAAGAAGAGCGAGTAGAATGCCAAGAAACAGAACCAGAGCCAAGACTGAAGGAGTAACCCTGAGACGACCGCTGAGTAGCCTGGTCGTCTGCCCAAGAAGCGTCTGAGTGCCCAGTGAGAACAACTGGGACTCGCCCTCCAAGCACTAGCCCCATGCCCGACGTACTGCACAAGTAGCGCAACACCCTCTTAGCTGCATCCATGTGCTCCTTCCGGTGACGGCCGGGAGCGACATAGCGTGCAAGAATGCTGAGAGGGTATGCAAGGTCTGGTCGAGTGCAGGTCATCAGGTACATGAGGCAACCCACAAGCTCTGGATACGGGCCACTCGGCTCTACGGACTCATCCGAAGGCAGAGCTGAGAGCGAGTGACCGGTAGGCAGAGGAGTGGGCTGAGGCGAGGAGTACGTGAAGCGGAAGCGCTGAAGGACCTGCTGCACCATGTGTGACTGAGTCAAGGTGATGGTGCGGCGTGCTCTGTCCCGGGTGATCCGCAAGCCAAGATAGCTTGTCAGTTCACCCAGGTCTGGCTAGAAATGTGCAAGGTCAAGGCCACAAGGCCATTCCACATGCAGGAGTACACATATATGCACAAGGTCAAGGCCACAAGGCCATTCCACATGCAGGAGTACACATATATATATAAGGCTAAACAAACAAGAGCAGGTATATATATATATATGTAAGAGTACAAGCAAGGTCAAGGGGTGAGCAAGTGAGGCAAGACAGGCACAAAACCCAGCTGAGTGCAGAAGCGCTGTTGATCACAAGGCGGAAGTGCCTTGGTGAAAACATCAGCAGTGTTGGCCTCAGAGGCCACGTACACAAGTCGCAACTGACCACGCTGCTACAACTTACGAGCAAGAAAGTAGCGGAGAGCAATGTGCTTCGTTCTGTGCTCCAGGCGATGCTCCCAAAACAAGGCTAGCATGGCCTTGTTGTCTACGTACAACACCGGAGGAGAACGAGGCGGCTCTCCGAGGTCAGTCAGCAGGTAGGTAAGCCAGCGAAGCTCCTGTGCAGCCATGGCCCCGGCGTAGATCTCAGCCTCACAACTGGAGCCGAGAACAAAAGACGAGCGAGTAGCCCGCCACGAAACAGAGCCGGAATCAAGGCTGAAGGTGTAACCCTGTGACGACCGCTGCGTAGCCTGGTCGTCTGCCCAAGAAGCGTCCGCGTGCCCAGTGAGGACCACTGGACTCCGCCCTCCAAGCACTAGCCCCATGCCCGACGTACTGCACAAGTAGCGCAACACCCTCTTCGCTGCAGCCATGTGCTCTGGTCTGTGTCTCCCAGGAGCAACATAGCGTGCAATAATGCTAAGAGGGTATGCAAGGTCAGGTCGAGTGCAGGTCATCACGTACATGAGGCAGCTAACAAGCTCTGGGTATGGGCCACTCGACTCTACGGACTCATCCGAAGGCAGAGCTGAGAGCGAGTGGCGAGTAGACAGAGGAGTGGCTTGAGGCGAGGAGTACGTGAAGCCGAAGCGCTGAAGGACCTGCTGCACCATGTGTGACTGAGTCAGGGTAATGGTGCGGCGTGCTCTGTCCCGGGTGATCTACAAGCCAAGGTAGCTGCGCAGTTCACCCAGGTCTGTGCACGTGTGTCTCTTCTGCAGCTCGGACTTCACGTGGGCGAGTCCAGCAGTGTCAGCTGTGGCAAAGACCAAGTCGTCGACGTACACGAGGATGTAGAACGGCGGCAGAGAGGTGTCGGTGCGTAGAAACAGCGACGGGTCAGCAGTAGAGGGAGCAAACCCAAGAGTCGCAAGTGTAGTCCTCAGTGTGTCGTGCCACTCGCGCCGTGCCTGGCGGAGACCGTAGACTGGCCGTCGGAGGCTCCACTGGGTGCCAGGAGGGAAAGTCCCAGCGAAGCCAGGTGGACGGCGCAACCAGATCTCCTCGTGCAGGCTACCCTACAGGAAAGCAGTGCTGAAGTAAAAGGAGTGAAGCTCATAGTCACGCTGAGCGGCTACGTGTAGCAGTACTCGAAGAGTGGTCATCTTCGGGGTGGGAGAGAAGGTCTGAAAGTGGTCAACTCCGTGCCGCTGACTGAAGCCACGAGCCACGTACCGCGCCTTGAAGACAAGTGGAGAGCCCGGCGGCCGCTTCAGCCTGAAGATCAACATGCCACTGACGATGTTCGCCCCAGGAGGGGGAACCGCGTCAACGTAGGTGCCGGTGGACTTCCAGGAAGCCATCTTTGCATCCATAGCTGCCTGCCACTGAGAGGAGTAGGGACCCTCTACGGCCTCCGCGTAAGAGCGCAGAGTCGGGATGTCTAGTGCATCCGGGTCTCCCTCAGGGGTAAGCAGTACGGACGCGAGATGAGGTGAAGCAGCAGCTAGACACTGGAACTCCTCTTGCCTGTCCTCAAGGACGTCCGTGCCAAGAGCACACTCACCCCTGACGGACGGAGGACAGACAGACGCAGACTCAGCAACAAGACTAGCAGCGTAGTCTAGACGACAGCGAGCAGCAAAGTCGACGAGCTCAGCAACAAGAGCAGACGCAGCAGTGGACTCAAAGGAGGGGTCAGTGACGACAGTAGGAAGGAGACGCGTGACAGTAGGACTGGCAGCACGAAGAGAGTCCGACTCAGGGTCGGCAAGCACAGGAAGAGAGGAGTCAGGAGGAGAGGGCAAAGGGACACGCAGAGGAGCAGTGGACGGACGCAGAGACATCCGGTGCGTGCCAGGGATAGGAGGAGGACGCTGACGCAAACTGCGACCACTAGTGCGAGCAGCACAAACAGGCGACGCAGGACGAGACGCAGGCTCACGACGCTCAGCAAGACCTCCAGTAGGACAAGTGTACGGAGAAGGAGAAGGCAGTGGGGAGGCCGGCTGTAAATGTGACTGCGACTGGACAGGGGGTGGACACTCTAAGGGAGGAGGAAGACCAAGAACCTGCTGAAGGAGCGGAACAAAGTACGGCCGAGGCCGCGCGGCGACTCCAGACACAGCAGGGACAGCACTAGCACCCCCAGCGGCAGCACCAGCGTCAACAGCACCTCCAGCTCCAGTACCTCCAGCAGCACCAGCAGCACCCGCAGCACGACCGCCGCCAGGACTGACAGCAGTAGCCTCAGCGCCAACACCCTCAGCAGCTCCGACTCCAGTAGCACTCGCAGGACTAGCACCTCCAAGACTGGCGGTACCAGCACCCTGAGCAGCCGAAGAAGCACCAGCTCTAGTAGTACGCCTCTAGCGCCGGGCAAACCACTCGCGCAGCTCCTGTGGAGAGAGTGGCTCCCGCCGAGACGAAGCACCCGGAGAACCACCAGGCCCAGCACCGCCAGACGCCACACGAGCAGGTCCAGCGGCCGAGGGCTCCGCACCCCCAGGCTCAGTAGCTCCAGACTCAGCACCCCCAGGCTGTGCAGCTCCAAACGCAGCACCCCAGGCGAAGGACCCCCAGGCTCAGCACCCCCAGTCGTAGCACCCCCAGGCTCAGCACCCCCAGTCGTAGCACCCCCAGGCTCAGCACCCCCAGACTCAGCACCCCCAGTCGCAGTACCCCCAGACTCAGCACCCCCAGGCTCAGCACCCACGCGCGCAGCACCCCCAGAGTTAGCACCCCCAGGCTCAGCACCCGCAGCAGTACCAGAGTCACCAGCAACCTCGATCGGCTCGACTGCATCTACCTGTGACACACCTGAAGGGGCAGGACCCTGATGGGGGAGGGGGTCTACCGGGGGGGGCCCTGGCACAAGGAAGTGCGGTGGCGGGGGGAGGGAGGGAGTGCGGTAGGGGAAGAGGCGGTAGTAGGGTACTGACTCGTCGAACTTGACGTCCTTGGGGGACAAAACACGACGAGAGGTGGGGTGGTAGAACTGCCACCCAGGGGCGTCAGGGGGGAAGCCAAGGAAGACAGAGGGAGCAGCACGGGGGGACAGCTTGTCCGCAGACAAGTCGCGGACAAACGCCCGAGATCCCTAGACACGGAACGCAGACGCATCGCCGACCTTCCCCGTCCACAGCAAGGCTGGGGAGGTCTCCGGTCTGGAGACCCTGGGGTGAAGGTTGATCTGATGCGCCGCGTACCGAACCGCAAACGGCCACAGAAAATGGGGGGCAGCCGCATGCATCATGGACGTACGAGCGACGTCCATGACCATGCCAATGCGGCACTCAGCAATCCCATTTTGCTGTGGAGAGTCTAGAAGCGTAAAGGTCTGGTGGATGCCTCGCGCACGACAATAGGCTCGCAGAAGGCGAGAGGAGAACTCTTCGCCTCGGTCAGAGTGGAGATGCAGAACAGGAAAGTCCGAGCCGAAGCTCCTCCTGAGCTGGAGACGAGCTGCGCGGATCCAGCCGATCAACACCTCAGCGACATCACCCTTGCTGCGCAAGGGGAAGACTGTGGTGTAATGCGAGTAGTCGTCAACCACCAGCAGGAAGTAGCGCTCGTGACCCTGTCCACGGACGCGGGCCGGGCCCCACACGTCCATGTGAAGCATCTGCAGCGGGGCCTCTGTCGGGGAAAACTGAGAAGAGTG